AGATTGAGAAGTCACAGCTGCGATGGCTTGGGCATGTGTTGCGAATGCTTCCAGAAAGGAAGGCTAAACAGCTGTTCCTTGCAAATCCGACCGGCAAAAGGCCCAGGGGACGGCCAAGATTAACCTGGTGTAAACACATGGAAGGTGTCTGTTCCAGACTCCATTTGACTTTTGCCGAAGCTCAGACTCTGGCACAGGATCGGGAACGTTGGAAGCTCTGTCTGACTCCGCGACCCGAAAGGAAAAGCAGCGATGGAAGATGAAGGTGAAGATTATTATAAATATTTACTGCTTTCTTTTGTGCCGTTTTGTTAGCTGCTTGTTTTTTGGATGTGTTGTCGAGTAATCGAAATTCTTGAATGCCATAACGAACAGAGTACTCTCAAATAAAAAATGTGCATGCAAGATATTATATTAACTTTTAAAGCTTAATCAAAATCTATTGCCCGTAAATATTCTGAGCGCAGAGAACGCAGAATTTGTATGAATGGGAAGATCCCATGCTGTCAAAAGCCCTTAATTACAGTTAATGCACATTTTGCAGTGATTTGAGAGAATAAAATCGTTTTAACGGCAAGCACCTAGCTATCAGTGTCTGTCTGGTAGACGTTCAGACAAAAACCTTTATAACGTATCCAACGCCTTCAGCAGTCGTTAATCGCGTCAAAGATAGCTCCAGTAAAATATAGGTTAAGTTCGCGCTAGCAGCGGAACAGCTCATCTCTATATATACTCAGCGCTGTAAAGTAAACAGTACTGCGTTTCGAGAATTTCACAATACTGTTGTTAATTGAAATTTTGATCCATACTGTAGACTCTCTTCGGTTAGAATCTGCTGCTCCTTGCAATCTATATTGACAGGTGTTGCACCTGCTGTTGCTTGCGGACCAAATAGTGTCATGTTTAATAAGCTGCTGTTATGTTGCATCAGCATGAAGGAAAATCAAGTATTACCATGTTGAACAAGATTCGTGAAATGATGCGTATAATAAAATACATACAAGTAGTTGAATCACAAAAATGGTAATCGAACAGATCTCCTTAATCTCAAACCTAACGTTAGGCTCAAGTTGGAAGACGTGCCATTCTACGCATTTTAATTTCGCAATAAGTAAAAAATTTCAACAGACGAGATCGGCCAAGTCTGACACTTGTAGCAAACGTCGAAGAATTGTCGGCCAACGGCAGACCTCACCGACCAACCGCCAGCTCATCCTGGCCTCAACAAAAATCTACGAGACAGAAATCAAAACGCTTACGATCGGCTGATCACTCAGAAACTACTGACTCACTAAGTCATGACAGTGAATGACATGTGTTAGAGCTTCGGAATCCATGTCAGCGATTGAAGTCGTCTTCTTAACCCTGATTCATCATATCAGAACAGAAATGCAGCTGATTGCTTAAGCTGAGGTCTTTGAACCTATGTTGTAGCTGCTACAGGGGCGAACTGCAAGGAAGAATGGCACAGAAGATCAGGACAATTCTGAATTTGGTCCTTCAATTTCGGTGGTAGCTGTCAGCCTTTAGTTTCATGCATGAACAAAAATCAGTAGCTTCGCCAAGTTCTAGACTGAGCGTTTCGTTTATGCCAGATTTCACGCGTTGCCCGTTGCCCTTTAACGCGGAGAACGGCATTAAGCAAATTTGGTAGAAACTAATGTTGTTGGTTTGAAGTTTATAGGACACTTAATAGATACGTGATGGCGACAGCGACCGATCCTCAACACGTAGGGCAGTTAAAGTCAACTTTATTTTCGCCCGTGACTCGTTGAATAGCTTTCGAGGAAGATCAGATGCAGGACTACCCAAAATTGAGGTTGAAGAGCAGCTCATCACCCAACTGCTGCGAATTAATCTACCATAAACGGGCGATGCTTCACGGTGCGTCTATACTATACGCTGATTTCTGTTCAAAATACCCCAGACCTCGTATATAATAAGCTTCGGTATTCCTTCGTTTCTTCTGCTGATCACGTCTATCGTCTAATACAGTATGTACTTAAAAATCTGTTTGTCTTAGAACAAGCATTAAATTTTGGCAATCCCAAGGCATTAAGTAAATGACTCAATACAAGATGCATATTTCACGGCGAAAAACTTAACGCACATCAAAACTGCGTGTTCGCTGACAAGGTTAATGAGCATTTAACAGATGCAACTCGTCTGTAATGCGATGGGCATCAAAAGATTGTGATTATGATTCTCCTGGCGCTGAATCTCAAAATAATTTTTCTATCTCTAACCGATAATTCGATTTCGAATACTTGTCCAGTCTCAAAACACCTAATTACCGTATTTCGATCTACTGACGATCTACGAAATGCCGATGTTCATGTGTGTATGTGTGTAGGGTTTCGTAAAGACGACGTTAGAAGACGAGCAGATCGCCTCGTCGTCAGATGCATGCGCTGAGTCGCTCTCTGACCTGGGGCGACGTCGATGGTCGAAAAGACGAAAGGTGTCACGTTTCCATCGGAACCGACATTGAAACTGATCGACTGACTGGTGTCAATCTCAGCAGGTTCGAGCTCTGCTCGAAAAAGAGCAGTTTAGGAGAGGACATACAGTGGAAGATGAAATCTGCCAGCAGCCGAGAGTGCTGCATCATCATTGCAAGGAGGCGGCAAAGCACTCGTTTGAAAATCGGAACGGACCGAACGAACAGAATTAAGGATGGTGAAAAGAATATACAAAGTATTAAAGTCTAAATGACTAAATGCACATATGCCATATCTCCAGAGACCTCATTTGCATCCTCTGTTGACTTGAGCCGCCGTGGAGAACCAACATCATCATCCAGAGATTAATTCTGAGTCACCATTTCTACTCATCGCTGAACGAAGACATCGTAAGCTTGGATCACACACTCTCTTCTCTCTACTGGATAAGTGATCGCACAAGAAGACGAATAATAAGATGAAGCTGCTAGCTGACTTCGACAACAAAGTTGCTTAAAGTAGCTCGCAAGAGAACAATACACTGGACCCCTTTTAACCTCCTGTTATAATAACACTGCTATTGAAACTACCCATGCACCATCACTAGTTTCTGCTCCTTGGCTCTCCAAGGATGTCTAAGGCAAAACAGCGAGAGGGAACAAGGATTTAACTCGCTGTTGGTCGAGGCGAAGTCCGCCATGCTTCGGTTCCAAGAAACCCAGAGATATCTTAAATTTGACTAATGAAGGATGACACGAAGCAACGAAATACTAGAGAAACGTGATTAACGAATTAATGAACGGCTGATAAGAATCAAGAATGAATAAATCACACAGGTTCAAGCATTACGAGAAACGGGGAGTAGGATATGGATTCAAAAGTTTTTCATTGCCAGGACATTTCTCTGAACGGTTAATGTTAAGAATAATCATTTGAAGTAAATCTGAAGTAGCAATAATGATAATCATCGTTATTTGTCATAAAAATACAAAATACCTGCTTCAGGTACAAGAGTAATGTGGAGGAAGGCAGAAACTTATATATTTCTGTACTACTGCCTTTGTGCAGCGATGGATAATGGTAAAAGTGCAGGCTTGACAACAAACACTATTAGCAAGCACTGTTTTATTTGAAAGTACTGATCGACGGCCTGAAGCAGCTACCAACGGGGCAACGAAACAGGTAATACAAAAAGTGAGCGCTATACTTTTCTTCTACATGCATCATTGTGTACTATCTTAATCTAACGCATATGTGATGAAAAGAATAATGAATATAGCCATGGTACAAACTGTAGCGTCGTGATGAGAAATTTGTCTTCGACTTTTCCATACGTGCAGGACTCAACCCTATTTATGTTAATCAATAACTAACGGATTTGGCCTAAAATTTTTCCATTCCAAAAATTTACAGGTTCATCAATGGGCATCTCATAAGAAGATATAGGGAAGATGAAATCGTTGATCTCCATAAGAAATAAGACGTAGATGAAGAGGATAAGACATCGGAAAGCAACCCGACATCCATTCGGTCGCGGACGCAACCCATTCAAGGAAGTATCCCCGCCGAAGGGCTACTAAAACGTAAGAACCATTACACTTCGCTGCGATTCGTTAACACTATTCAGTGCTACCAATTCAATCCATGAAATACATAAAAACAGTGGTCACCAAAGTCAGCAATCAGCTTTAACGTGCCAACGTATCGACTGATGAGCAATCTCTGACAAACAAACAAATCTCTCACTTTCGATGTTTCTGGAACTGAAGCAAGCCGAACATCAGCTGGAAATTAAGAACACCTAACCGCAAAGATTGCGAAAGGTAAAACACAGAACGGAAAAGGTTAATCACCTGTCTGACCTTCGTTATTTATGTCGAGGAGCTACCTTCCGCCTTTTCTATTTACTACGTAGATTTATCCATTTAACATAATCGTTTATTCACATCCACTTGCTCTGTCTCTTAACAACTACCGTAGCTGTTTCAAGAAAGCAAAACTGGCTATGATTAGTGCCAAAATAACACCCTTACGTAGGCAAGCGTTTCACAACGAGACTGTCGAAATAACTATATGGACATGGCTAAGGTATAAACAAAAAATAATCAATATTACAATATATGCAGCTGAAGGTCTACAAATGAATAACCGCTGACTGAATATTTCTCGCGCTGTTGCTATTTATTTTATTTATTTTTGCTGCGTATATCCCGCTTTGCATGTCTCTTAATTTTTTTCTCCACAATCAATACTGACGGTTACCGCAACAACAGTTGGAGTTGGATACCGACCAAAATAAGAAACGGCATGATGCGGCGAAACACGGTGAGAAACACATTCCTAATCGGTGACGGTAGCCATGGGCACATTTTATAATATTAAAACGACCTGATGGTTGCGACTGACAGGGATTCATCTAAAAAAAGGACAGTAGGACATTCGGAGGGATGCATTTGAAAATATGTGACTCATTTGGAAAAGGCTTCGAATCTGGAAAAATTCTTTCAACGGCCAATTCCTTTTGAGGAACAGTAGCAAGTCGCCTACAGTTGGGGGAAACGGTATTCTGGTATGATTAAATCTGAATGGGCGAAAAGTGCGGCCATGCTGTCTGATTCGGACACTTCCCGCAGCTGCAATTCGCCTTTCCTGCCAGACAACTGGCTGCACAGTGTAAGAAATAAACCGAAAAATTCAATGGAGAACGACGGCACACCGGCAATACGGACGAAAGATACGGCGGAAGAAAGAGAGCGTCGTAAGAAGTAGAAAAAATAGCATCATTCGTTGAATAGTCAAAAACTGAAAGTCTGTTTATCAATATTGCCAAAACTTGCATATCAGTCGTCATCCATTTATATGTATTTCACGTCGATCACGCAATATCGTCATATCTATACGCTTCCAGAAAAAACCATCACACTTCTGAAAAAAACTGTCAAGTGAAATACAGGGTGGCTGTATTGCAAGGAGAGTTTTCATTCACGTGACGAAGCACAAGATTTGTCATTACAAATGCAGAAGTATATCATAAAGCTGTACATATATTGATAGCAACAATCCACATGTTGGCAGAAGCGTAGTTTTGACTGAAAATTAATGCCATAAAGAAAAGCAATTTTTATCACGGTTATAGTTTAAGGGGGAGGCCAAAATCATCAGTAATTCAGCAAAGTAAGCCAATGACGTAAAGGCCCTTTTTCAAAGGCTACAGAACATGACGGAAAGATTTCCTCATATTTGTTCTATTCTCTTTGATGAAGACCTGCTACTCGTTATCTGTTTTTCAGCTGTACTGTCTTAGAGCTACCTGGTATTCAGTCACCGTCCTCCATACCGTACTCTCGTACATTATGCTGATCGACTTTGCTTGTTAAACAATAGACATCCGCTTGATTTCATTCGAGCAGTAATAAAGCAAACAATTCGGAGGTTCTTTTTTGACAATAAATCCGCAATACGGTGGTCCTTAATCATTCCAGTCAAGTTTGGCATCCAGTTTGCAATCAGCATATCGTTCACCTATGCATATTCGCTTGAAAGCAAAAGACCGGTTATCTTTGACTATGGTTATTTCAACTTTTAAGGTCTCGGTTCATGACCATCGATTTGCAGCCCTGTTATCGGTATGAGAAATAAGCCCTACGGAGATTTTGTACTTTGATTATTAGCCTCTGTCGTGGACGGTCACGTCCAGGTAGCACTTATGATCATCTAGTAGTGTGAATCGCATAAATGAAATTTACAGTCGTACAAGTAGTCTCTGTGCACATTTTCCTTCATTTGTTCAGAATTAATTGACAGAGGTCTCTCGCCGTTTGGCGGAGGCACCAAGACAACGGCCATTGTGGACAAAGGACAAACAGTAAACATTTCCTTCTAGTTTTGAGAAAAAATATGTGAAATATCCAGGTACAACCAGAGCTTGATGAAACACGATGCTCTATGGCGGTGTTTATAAAACTGTGCAAATAATCATCGGTAAGCTGAAACTACAGATCGCCAACCCCGTCGAGAGACAGTAGGGCAATAGCTTTGCGACTCTGAACGTGTGTTCCTTTGCTTTCGTTACCGGAAGCAGAACGTACACGAGTTATCGTGCAAAATCGATAAACAGGGACTGAAAATAGAATGTGGTAAAAAAAACTATAACGTTGCGAACGCTGGTGGTGTGTTAATTTAAACGGTGGTGCTAAAAGCGGTCGCAATTGACTGGGACGCGTAAGAAGAAACAAGGCAAGTAATGACAAAAGGAGAGACGCAGATGAACCAGTGGCCGAGAGTCACACCGAGGAAAGGACTGACTGAGGAATAATGTAGTTTTGCATGTGAGGTCAGCTGATAACGAAAACAAAATCCACCTGTGATAAAAGTTGTGCAAGGAAGGTGATATGCAGGTAGTCGTCGTCCAAGCGACCGAAACTTGTATATCGACCGTACATGAACCGCGTTAGAGCGTTTTAAAGTTTTGAGGAGATCAAGTGTACGCATAAGAAGGCGGATGTGATTACCTGCCAGCCTGAGGGCGGACATACGTTGGAACTCGGGCTCCTGAAGCCACTTGAGCATGCGGCGGAACGTCTCGCGA